GGAGAATCTATTTTTAGTTAACTTTCAAGTGTGAAATTAATCCTGCTACCAGCTTTTTAACACTGCATTTGCTTAGTGAAATGCACAGCTGGTTTTGACTGCTGTAAAGGCTGTCAACACTTGGCTGGCTGGTTAGATGGGGGCAATAACCCTCTGGGATTTTTTCCATTGGTTGCATCTTACTGTTCCCATGGATCTCTCACTGTAGATGAAAGTCAGCAAGCTACAACACACAAAAACTATGTAGGTCCGACCGTTTTTTTCAAAATTGCAGGCCGAGATTTCAGCTAACAAACAAATGACTCATTTAGGTGTACTCCAGGTACACAGAACAGGAGAGACCACAAAGGGTTAAAGACACATCAATCACCGTGTAAAGAGCGCTGCTCTAGCACTGAGGAAATCCATCACTGTGAGTGAAAGAAGACTTCCAGCTTTTGATTATGATAAAGGAACAGAAACAAAAGTGCACCATGTCCTCCCTTTTATCTATTGAGTGTGTGATAAGCCTTAAAGGAAAATGTGCCAATGTGTACCTTCAGGCGTAAATGACGGTGATAGACATTTAAGCCTTTCGAGAAACACAGTAACAAACACACACCTTTCATTTTTGTCTGCTTCCTTTCCATATGTGCTGAACACTACAAATGGTACCAACAAGACAAAAACAAAAATCAAAAATCTAGAAAAAAAAATGCAGGAAAAAGAAAGCTTAGGTTGTTACATTTTTCCCTGATTTTGGGGGTGTATTTTATACATCTGGCCAGCTTCTAAAGCTAGAACAGCATCTGCAGCTCTGGGGAGCTTCTAAATAAAGTGAACTTATTTAGATGTAGCTGGAACTAAACCAGCGCTTTATGTGCTCAGCAGAGGCTAAGTAATAATAGGTTTGTTTATATAATTAGACCCCTATCAAAGCTCAGCAATGGCTGTAATTGCATGTGCCTTTAAGCAATGTTTAAGTGGAACAGACCCTGTTTTTTATTTAGGACCAAGTCCTACATAAAGAAAGACTTCGATGGAAAAATCTTTTTTTGTTGGGGATTTGTGTGTTTTTTTAACAATGAAAAGTCCCAAAAGCTCTACAAAAATAACCTCAGAAAAATGTGTGAGCCAATAAACTATAGATAAATTTGGCAAGTACTAGTTAAACTCCCATTGCTTCTACAGCATGGTTGCTGGATAACATAAAAGACACATATGCAAATACACTGACTGACTGATAAAAGTTGAGAAACAGAAGCCAAGACTTCTTGGTGGTCCAACTTGATACAGAAAACACTTGGCATGGGCGCCAGATACTGAGTGAAAATTTTGCTTACGTTCTTTCCCACCCCTTTCCAGTATTTACCTTACTCCTACCCAGTCATCCACACTGGGAAGCAGGAGTTATGCAACATGCCACATTCTGTGACATTCCCCAAGTCTGAAAAAGACCCTTGACTGCTCTTAGAAACAAGGCGCCCTTGTCAAGGTAACAGGAAGGAAATGGGTGTAAAGGGGCTGGCAATCTGCAGCTCTCAGCATCTGAACTCAGATCAGCTTTCTGCTCAGAAAAAAATGCCCAAACTAGACAGATTGGTTTTCACCTTCATGTTCTCAAATCAGCATGGAAACATTAAGCCGCTACACCTGGATACACACTACTGATTGGACTGTTGAGTAGCCACGCACATCACAACATTAATTGCCATATGGTCTCAAGTTTGGTGCTTGATTAGGCTGTTTAGTCTCCATGCAACTTATCAATGATGCAGCACATAGCCTTGATTCAGAACTACAACAATTTAGAATTGGGCCATCTGTCTCTCTCCCCACTGGGGTTTGCATTCCTTGTCCCAACAAAATAATAGAACAGAGAGAAGAGCTGTCAGCCCAAGTATAACCAGGAGGGTTTCTCTCCAGCACATCTGCTCAGACACTGTACTACAGATAATTAAGATTTACTGCAAACCTGCATGTCTGATTTTTAGGATAATGGTGATAATCCCGGATCATTACTGGAAAGAGTTAATCCACATGCAATTGCCATGACTCCCAGGAATTCAGGGTAAATATGTAGTGCTGCACTCCTGTAGGCAGGAGAGGAGGCTGGAGTATCGAAGAGTATTTTTATTACAACATGATTCCAATTCTTAATTTGTATTTTGTCATTTTTAAAGTTATGGACAGGGTATAGATCCAGATGTCAAACCTTAGAACATTTACATAGATTTTAAACTTTTCTGATGTCAAAAAAAAAAAAGAAAGAAAGGGGAAAAAACAGACAATACTTACACAACCCATATCCCAGTGATGGTCAGGACAGGGAGGCTAACAGGTAGTATCATCCACAGAGACATCTTCCAGCACCTTTCTTCTTTTTCCTCTCCAGCCAGCTGAGCAATGTCTTCTCAAGTAGGATTAACATTTATCTGAGTGTGACTGACATGTGCACCGATTCATTTTCCTGAAGATGGAGGACGGTTGATGGGACAGCGGCAGGACAGATGTCTCTTTTCAGCTAGTGAATGAGAGGATCGATAGGGTTGTTCCGTGAGGTTGATTAGGAGCATTCACCTACTCATCATCATTAAATGATTAAGTAAACTATCAAGAACAAGCTATTAGTGACCACAGCAATTTAATTTACATCGATCAGCAGGGTGCATTACCTTACATAATCCTGCTTTCGTGAAGCTTTAGTTTTCTGCTTTTCTTAAATGTTCAACAACATTTTATAAGTTTGGGGGTGTTCGGGGTGGACACATTAACCGCTTACATTTCAAATGCGACGGTTTTTTGTCCACCTTCCTGTTTCTAGCTAGCAACAACAAGCATCAAAGGTAAATCTGTGACAACTCACCTTCTGCCTCCTTGTAAGCTAGCAAATGCAGATTGTTTTTTTCTTTTTAGGAAAATGAAAACTTTGAGTACGCCGGCGTGTCCTCCACAACTCTGGCACCCCCAACCCCCCCAAAAACTATCACGACTTAGCTTTAATTTTACTTGGGTATGTAGATTTTTCCAGAGCAGATGGGACCTCGGTTAGCCGTGTTCGCGTTGAAATGAGTGGGGGGAAGGCTGGCTTCACAGCAGCCAGTCCTTCTGTATCTCAGCCGCCACGAGTATCCAGCTGTTTGACTCCGCCCACATTTGGTTACGCACGTGTGGGCGGGATAGCGCGGAGGAAGCTCAAGAAGACAAGTTTGTCCTACCGTATTTGGACAAAGTTTTAAATTATAAAATAGCAATTACATCCACACAATGTTGTAATTTGAATATTACTGTTTTAAATCAGTTCCTTTCACCGTGAGACCCTGAGAGTAGGCCTACTACACTTGGAACCTGTACGTTTCCTTCGCTGTTAACGGTAACAACCTGGAAGCTTTCGCATTTTCTTCTTTTTTGTGTGCATGTGTGTGTTTTTCTCCCGTGCTTTCTTATCTCATTGTAAAGACACGCGTCTTCGTCTTTACGTCAGCACCGTGTAACTCTCTGTTTATATACAACATGTGTGAATGAGCGTGAGACACCGAGCCCCTTAAACAAAACTTGTTTCTGCTGCCCTCTGCAGCTTTAACGAATTAATATTTTCATTTGTCAGCTATACATAATCTGCGCTGGGTCCTTCTGTGAAAAAATCAATTACGAATCAGCATATTTAATAAACTATGCAAAACTTGTCCCCCCATTCTTTTCTCATCAGTTCCTATAACTTCATTAGTACAAAAGACAGACGCGTGGAATTTATCAGGGCCAAAAAACATATCAAAGCGCCGTTAAAAACAGCAGACAAATCCTTTTTACACCGTCTCCACGTATCTTTCCATCTAAAACAGCAATCATGTAATATATTCATATAATGTGATATCATAGTTTAGATTGCAAAAAAACTGCACCATTATAATGTCTATGACAAAGAGTAAGAGAACCAGTGCCCTAAATGTTTTATCTGTTTTCTTATAATTCACTGGAGCTTTCCAGACTTATATGACCACGTGGAATAGATGGCTGGTCAAACTTTATCACAGCCAGTGGTTCAATCAGAGGTGTACAACACATGAGCAACATGTGAGAGCATGGATAGGACCACCAGGAATGTAACATTTACTCATATACTTTACTTAGGTTTAATGTATTTGTAATATTTATTTTTGTCTGTATATATTTTTTAGTATTCTCATACTATGTTACTTTTTTATTCAACTATATTTTGAATTTATTTGACAGCTTTAGCTACTTATTATTGTAGATCAAGCCACAGAACACTATCGATGAAATATGTTCAAAAACATATAGACATAAAAATGTCTGAATATGTTTACTTAAGGTACTTTAATTATATTTTGATTGTTCAACCTTTTCACTGTTAAGTTATTTAAGGTAGGATTATATGTTTTAAGTGAGTTAAAAATCTAAATACTTTCTTCCATTTTGCCAATGTCCAATAGATGACTATATTTAAATTCTTGGGCAGTTCCTAATAATTTCACAAAAAATGTGTAATAGGCCTCAATTTTCATAAACCTGAAATTATGTTTTTGACATCACTTTTCTATTTCTGATTGATTTGTTTTTTTATTAATTGTTTTGGTTTTCCTGCTATATTCTTGATTCCCCTTTGGGCTCCATGTAAAAAATCCTGGAAACGGCTTAGAACAACGCCTGGTACCTTCAACGAGCAATGAAATCTGATTGGCACATTAATGCATATTGCTGTCAAATGAGTTTCTTTTGATTTTGCTACCTCCAGTGATGCTTTCTCAGTAATAAGAAAATAATGTCGCCCCACAGTCCATTTACTACACCTTTCAGCACATTGTTTTTTTCTCATCCCTTTGATGGCTTCAAGGTGCAAATGTGAGCATATTCAATATCTAGCTCACGTTACAGAAGAGGACCAACCATAAATGGAGTAATTTTTTTTTGCAGGTAATTTCAAAGTTCAACAAACATCATCACACACACAACTCAAGCAGTGCATCACAAAATGTATCTAATAGCTAATGTACAGTTGCTTTATTTCCCAGGGCGAGAAAAAACATCGGTGTGCAACACAGAGGTAGTGAAAAATGTAAGAAAGAGGACAGGAGAGGAAGATGAGAGCGTTTTTTCAAAAGTAGGTAAGTAATGCTTATTTATAAAGCACCTTTCATGTGCTCAAAAAGCATTTTACACAAATTAGAGTAAAATAAATGACAAAATGAAATGCTGTAAAAAATAAATCAAAAAAAGTTAAGATACAGAATAAATTGAAAATAAGAAAAATTTTCCAGTTTTATAAACTGGAAATTTAAATCTTGCATTAATGTCCAAATTTATTTTTAATCAGAGTTCTTCAGTCAGATGTTGGATCAGTACATGATGTGTTAAGTTACAGCAAGTAAAACAGAAAACACAGTAGCAACACGGATCAGCTGATCACAGCCTGTACATTAAGAAAAATCTACTGCAGCTCACAAAAGAAATTCATATGTGACTTGTTTTTAAGTAATTCACATCCCCACATTGCACTGCAACACCTGATTTAACTACAAAACTCCACTTAGCCCCTGGTTTTAGCATATAGAAGGTCACATGTTTACCTACATTTTTATACCAAGCATACCATGAAGGACTTAATTTATACTAAAGTTATTATACATTTAAAAAAAATCAACTGGGTAGAAACTTTATTCCATTTTGGCTGCTTTGAAATGTCTTTGTTATCAGCTGATTAGATGACCCATCAATTCCTGGTTATTGCTGATGAAATTCAAAAGTGTTTAATAAGTGGCCAGTATTAGTTAAAATAGTCAGTATCAGTCAATATGACATGGTATTATGATATTACATTTTTTTAGTCACTTACTTGAACAAGAAAAGAAACTGTTGAATCTAAGTTGTTGAAGGAATAACGTATTAATAGACTGATTAACATCAGCCCTTACAGCAACGTCATTCCCAGTAATGTGAGTCACTTTCTATTTATTGTGTTTTTAATAAGATTACAGAAAATGACAAATTAATCAGTAGCAATATTTAAAAAAAAATGTATTTTACAGACATGTGCAACATGTCAGTGATGTAAATATATAATACATTAACATAATAAAGAGAAAGAAAGAAAACGTGAGAAAGCATCCTGATCAATGATTTAATGCTTTTCTACTTACTAATGGCACCCGTTATATCTTAATTTCCCTTAAAAGAGCAACCTGTAACCAAAACACTCATAAAAAGACTTATCAGGAAAAAGTTAAATAAAAGAAGATAAAACCAGCAAAAATGACTCAAACGCCACGTGCTAGATGTCACAGATTTAAGGAGAATGTAAGTCTGAAGAATATCTTACAGTCTTATACTCGTACCAAAGCCCCACACACTGAATGCAGGGTAGAGTGGCTCTTTAAATGTGGTCTGGATCTTGTGCAAAAGACGCATGCCATCAGAGACACTGTAAAATGCCAGTGTTCCTGCTGCATGGTCCAGGTACACGCCAATACGAGAAGACACCGGAGCTGTGATGTCTGTGCTTTTGTTGTTGTGCACAAAAGAGAATTTGGAGTCAGAGCAGTACAGACTCCAGGACTTGTCATTCCAGCCAAAGCTGCATTCATTGGCATTCCCTTTACGACGGATTCCTCTGTAGGTAACAGCCACATCTATCTCTGTTCCCTTCCAGTCCACCTCCCAGTAGCAACGAGTCCCAATCACACTATCCCTGCACAACACCTGGAAGAGAAAGGATGAAATGAAAGCTTAAAAGGCATGATTTCACAAACTATAGAAATTACTTTTTTCCCCTAATAATTTGATCAACTCTCTCTTTCATCCTGTTTAATGTGAAACCTCACCTGCTGCCAGTGGTCAAATCGGTCAGGGTGGTCAGGGTAGTTCTTGGGTTCATTCTTCATCGTGGCAGCTCTGTTACCCTCAGACAAGTGAAGGTTGGGGTGAACAGTGTTGACATCCAGAATCAGCTGACCAGCATCTGAACACAGCAGAAAAACAAGTCCAAAACTCTATTCTGCAAAGAAAAAATACTTGATGAACTGGAACACTCTTCTCTTCTCTGAGCCTGGATAACATCTATGCTAGCTATCTGACAAAGAGGGCCAGCAGTATATTCAAAGTCCTACCACACCCTTGACACTCCCTGTGAATAGTTCAGGACAATACATCATCACAGTAACTGACTGAGGAACAGCTTTTTTCCCTGGACTCCATCTTACTCCTCCTTGCCACGTCAAAGCACAGTTTCAAAGACCTATGAGCGGTGACACACACACACATAGCACTATTCACACCAGTTCATCAGGTATGTAACATATGTTGATATACTGTCCTTTGTCCCTGTTTTTTGTTATATATCAATGAGAGATATGTGCCTGAGTATGGTAACAATTGTGATTATACCTTTAAAAAAGGTTTCTAGCTCCCATGAATCAGCTCATTCAAAGGTTTTTATAGGTGCCATCAAAGCAGGAACACCTGTATTTACTTAAGTAACTTTGCTTCCTTATGTTTCACCAAACCAGTTCTGCCACCAGCATACCTCCCACTGCAAGTTTCGGTCATTTCACACACAGAGCTGCATATCCATGCATGAAACAGTAACTGGAGCTATTTAACATTAGATAAAATACAAAATGTGCTTCCCATGACAGTATGTAAGTAGGATTTTCTGTAAATGCAATGCTGGTGCTGAAGATTTACAGATAGGCTGAAGGAAGGTTACAAAAATGAATCCGGTAACTCACATCTCAAGAAATCTTCTCTTGCTCTTGGTTCTTCTCTTATCTTTGGTTCCTCCCTCAGCACGGATTCTCTTCTTGACTTTCTTTCTTCATTTTCTTCTGTGATGTGGACTTCCTTCACTGTGAAGGCAAATTAAAAATGCACATACACAACAGCAGATTAAGAAACAACAGAAAAAAGCACATATCATCTGCGCTATCTGAGATGAAAAAAGGCAAGTCTGTTCACCTGCTCCTGAGATTTTGCTCATTTCAACTTTGCTGACTTCTTCCACTTGTAATTTCAGTGCAGAGATGGCTCTCTTGGTAGCATCAAAGGAGTAATAGGGTGCGACTCTGATTTTGTTGAGATCTTCATATCCCGAGGGGCCTGACAGGGACTGCCAACTCTGGCGGGAAAAAGAAGAAGAAGAAGAAGACACATGAGACATACTAGACAGTGAATATTTTTACTCTTTTCTCCAAAGACCCCTGACTTTCGCACCATATGTTATCTTGGTTGGGGTCGCCAGCCTCACCTGTAGGAAGTGTATGTGATCATCAGTGTGTGAAAGCAACTCCAGGTCATTGTGCTTCTTCTTCAGCAGAGTAATCTCCTCTTCTAAACGATCCAGCAGTGTTTCGGCCTGGGTCACGGTGGTCCTTTCGTGGGTGCGGATCATTTCCTTGACTTCAATATACTTTCTCTCGATGGAAAGCAGAAGCTCAGTGAATATGCGCTCGTTTTCCTCTAAGACTGTTTGAGCAGAATGCTGGTGAGATACAAAGGAGAGGAAGATTTTTTCACATCATGAGTTAAAAACGGTTACTTTTAAAAAGAATATTTTAATTGTTATAGTTAGATTAGTGTGACTTGCACGAGGCAACTTTCTGACTTACTTTAAGTGATTCGACAGCCTGTCGGAGGTCTTGCCACTTTTTAACCCTCTGATCAATCCTTTGTTGGGATTTGTGCAGCGTAACACTAAGTTGTTTCTATAGCAGCAAAGACAAGAAAGAAGCCATCACTAGTCATTAGTGGATTGTCGATAACTTATTTGCTGTGTTCACAGTGTTGCTTTCGCCACTTACTTGTTTCTCAGTCCTCTCAGTGCCAGCCGGGACGATGTCATGGTGTTTGTGTTCATCCATCATGCACAAAACGCACACAGATGTCTCATCAGTGCGACAGAAAGCCTCCAGCAGCTTGTCATGCTGTGCGCAGAGCTTCTCTCTCATCTGACCCGTAGCTTTGACCAGCTTGTGCTTCATCAGGGTAGGGTAGTTGTAGTGAGACTGGACGTGAGTCTCACAGTAGGATGCCAGGCACACCAAGCAGGACTTCTCAGCTTTCTGCTTCTTTGTTGTGCAGAAGTCGCACAGGACGTCCCCGCTCCTGGCCAGGGTCCTGGCTTGGCTGCGACTGTTGGGTCGACGAGATTTATCCAAGCTGGTGTATCTGTCCAAATCCAGGCTCCCGCTGTGTGACATTTTCTTACCAGGAGATAAAAAATATATTTAGAAAAGAAAACAATCCACAGGTGATTAAAGTTCAGCGGCTGTGTGAAGTTTTTAGGAAATCTGATGAGATGAGCAGCTAAAGAAAAGACTTGACTGAAAGTAAGCAGCGCAAGGAATCTACAAGGAGCTCCTGAAGTTGATCGCTACACTGAAACTGCGTGACAAAAGCTGTGAGTAACAGAATGTCTGCTATGTAATACGCTCTCTTTGTAAAACCAGTATTCCTAGTTGGACTTTAAATAATCAAAGAATGGGTGGTGCCTGAAATAAAGACAAGTGAGACAGAGAAAAGGAAATAAAAAAAGGACTACTTACTGATGAACTTAATAACTAAATATAAAAGTGTCAGAATTACTAGCTAGACTGTTGAAGAATTCATTTGTTATGGTTGTGTTTTATAGACCTCTATATGTAACCATACTTAATGCCACTCTCACTAACAGAACATTCATCAACAATGTGAAGGGGAAAACAGCATCATCTTGTGGGATTCCTTCTTTACTACACCAAATCTACATGTGTGCATTGTGAAAATATAATAGAAGCATCTAGACTGCTGTGCCAGTAGTTGATAATTCCCCCCAAAGCCGATGGATTTCCATTAAAAAAAAAAAGACTAGTGTCATACAAAAAAACAAAAAGCCATTTTGATTTTTTTTAACCCTTTGTCATCTTTCTGCATTTTTTGAGTGACAGGTATACAGTGTAGTCTCACATCTCCTACAGTTTGCAAGAAGGTGTTCGCTTTGATATTTTCCCTACAGAATTTTGCGCTAATATTCAGGCTAAATTTGCCTAACAACTCCCCCACCCATCATCTTTTCACTGTGACAAACTAATTCAGTATGTTTTAAGCAAATATTTGTAAATGTAGAAGTCAGCAAATTGAACATTCAAATAAGAATTATAATCGTTTAGGAATATGTTGGCAATAACAGTTGTAATCAGTGACAGAATACATACAATCATTTCTATGTAAAAGTCCAAAGGGGGTCATTGGTGACTATTATATACAGATGACTTAAAGAACCTTGCTGACCTGATGATGATGTTTATATTATATTAACCTTTTAAACTTCTCCATTTCATTTTTGTTTGTTTGATTGATTTTATCTTTGATTTTCTAATTAATTATTATTTTCAGACATTTTTATGGGGAAAAGGATTTTGTTCTGACTCATCTCTGTAGATTCGTTTTTTTTCTTTGTCACTTTATGCATCAAATATCTGCCTGAAGTCTTGCTACTTTGTGTCTGTTCCAATGATTGGCTGCAAAAAATTACAATGAAATGTTAATAAAACCCATAAGAAAGTAATAATAATTTACTCATTTAGTTATTAGTAATTTAGTATACAGCTCTACACATCACCTGTATTGAAAATTAGTGCCACCACAGTTCTTCTCCATTCCTCAGACATCCTCTTACTCTCCAATACTGTGCAAAACAGTCTGTTTACAAAGTCCACCACCCTCTCTCATGTACACCTCCGTACCTCCACAGGTAAGTCATCTGGACCAACTGCCTTTAAACTCTTCTTTCTCTTCATAGCTGCCCACTCTTCCCCCTGTATTATGTCCTGATTATGTTTTTGAGTGAATATGATCACCTACAAAGAAGCTATTACAGCCCTAACTGGTAGACCGAGTATTATGAGCAGATATCGTCCAGACACAGATGTATCTGCATTTTCTTGCTTTCAGTCCAACACCTGCCCTCATTTTGGTCGGCTGACTGGCATAGTAGCATTCAATCAGTGCTATATTATCAGTGTAACAGTAGCCTTTTTCTTAGTAGTTTGCAGTGGTTCTTCTGACCTTGTTAGTTATGTGTCCCTTGCTTGTGCCCTGAGGGAATTTAGGATAATTGAGGATCTACTCTGGGGACCTTTACTGGATACATGCCCTGACCAGTATTTGGTCTCCAACCTGTTGTTCCAGAGACTGTAAAGCTGCCACTACACTATCCACATAATATGGTTACAAAGCAGGGACCAGGAACTGAAGGAACAACTGGAGCAGATGTGGATTTTATGGAAGGAGCTGGAAACTGGAAAAGTGGCTGCAGCAGATTCCGGCATCTGTCCAAAGGAGTGCAGTGCTAGGAACAGCTAATATACTTGGCCAATGGTAAAGGCCCTGAGCTTGAGGACCACACAAATACAGCTTTATATATTCAATTATTTATTTAGGCTTAAAAAAACTTTTTTGAATTTAGATTTATTGCACTTTTTTTTTTGCCATGTTAGAGTATTTTTTTTTCACATCATATTTTATTTTATTGATCTGTATTGTCATAGCTTGCCTTTTTTGGGGGGTGGAAGAAACAGGAACATTAGCAGGTGAACTGATATAAACCTCATATTCAACTTTGTTACAATACAGTAAAATAACGTCAGAGCCACTGTTATGGATAAACACTGCAAACTAAAAACCGTAAAGGAAATCTCCAGGCTTGTGTCTGTGGTGCATTGTCGACTCCCAGCCTGTAGGGGGTGATTGTGGTTTCCATGCTGCGTTGAAAGGACAATGGTTGCTTTCGCTAAAGTGCGTCGGTTGTCCAACGTTGGCGCCAGATGAGCTGTGGCGCCAGCTACACACACAGGCATAGAGAAAGAGAGAGAGAGAGAGTGCTAGAGAGGGAGGAAGATACTGAGCAGTCTACCCAGGCTTACTACATACAGTTTGCAACGCTTCTCTCTTTTTAAAATTCTCTTTTCAGCAGTCACAAAGTAAGCGGACAGAAAGGTGGGTGCGGGCCTGCAAGAATTTACACGTTTAAACAGCCGTGATCCTTTATTCCTAATGATGTGTTATATCGTTTAAATTCAGCATACTCTGGCATCAATAGCAGCAACGGCAGAGAGGCATAGAGGGTCGTTTGTGTTCAGCTTAATATATCATCGTAGTTTTTATCGTTATTTTAGTCAGCGGTGTGTCTTGTGCGCCTCGGGTTCTGAACTTTGAGATGGAAAAATACAGGCCCGGGCTGGCACTGCTTGTGACATTATGTGCTGCTAGAACAGCAGGCAAGCACAGCAACACACTGGTATAAAAGACTATTTCAGGTTCGATTCCTATCCAGGCTATTTTTTGATTGCTGTTTGCGATTGCTGCAGACTCAACTCGTCTGTATTTCTTTCTATTTGCTTGCAGTTTGTCTTTGCATGCGAAACCACACTTAAACATGGTCGGATGGGCGGTTTAGTAAAGCTTCCGCTCCAGTGTTTTACTATCTACAGGCTATATAACTAAACTGGAGTGTAGGCTCTAACTGTGTTAGCAGACTGGATTAGCTGGGGGTTAGCTTGGCATCGTGGCTATCTAGCCAGCACGCTAATAATGTCTCGGCTGGATAGCTGCTAACATCAGCAAGGCCGCCATTGGAGTCGTGCGTGCGGTTTGTCGACTGCTGCCGCAGTGAAGGAGTGCTTCGGGTTTGTAGCCAAGACTCATCGTGTCCTTTCAAGTAGCGATTAAACGGCTTTTCTTGGTTGTTTTTGTCCGTATAATTCATTTCAAGCTGCATATGGCGGCGGATTTGTGTTTCGAGACGTTCTTGTCTGCGTAAAAGACGTCCTTTCCCGGGCTTTTCGCACACCGTTTCGGGCTTTCATGGTTAGCCATCTTTGTTTCAGCTAGCCCACTCCTGACTGGAAATCACGGTGTGGCGCTTAGCGTGCTAACCAACTCGTCGTCGGCGTTGGTGTTGTGCGATAACGTTACTAGCGCTCAAACTATGATTTATGGTTGTCTCTGTGGTTTCCTGAGCACTCTTGGTTAATCTTTGTGAGCATAGCGCTGTCGAGATCGCTCTAATTTTAATGTTTAGAATGGCGGAAGCTAGTGCAGCTACCATTAGCAAGCGGCAGCCATCTTAGGCGAGTGTGTAATCTTGGCTAGCCTGGAAGTGCTGGTGTGGCACAACAAGATGGCCTGTTAATACTCGCACAAGGAGAATTTCCGCGTCGGTCGTTGTCATAAATTGCACTTGAGCGCAAAATTCAGTGCTGGTTTGGTGTAAGTATTTCGCTGTTTATGGACTTCTCACTACAATTACTCTGGTGAGGTTTTCCTTGAAGCTAGTTAGCTGGCTAAATCGTGAACACATTAGCAGCTAACACAATGCTGTTTTATCGTTAACCAGTCTCCCATCGACCGTAGCCAGCTAACTAGCGGCTATATTGGCTATTTGTAGCTTATTTGGAAGGCTAGCAACCAGCAGTTAAATGTTTAATAACAAAACCCTGCTGTTTAGATGTCCCGTTCTTATTTCGAGATGTATTCAGTTATGACTCACAATGAACTGCGCAGATAAGCGACAAGTGTAGGCCAGCCAAGTTTTTTGCTTGCGGATTAAGATAGAATTGCGAGTCTGATTATGATGTTCAGTTGGGTTTTAACATTTGTTAGCTGAGGAAGTCTACGCTAACTTGGCTAGCAAATTGTCGGTAAACCTTTCTTAGTAGTATTTGAAATTATCAGGTTATGTGAGATGAGGAGTGCAGGCATGAAAACATTATAATACTCCTGCCCCACCACTTTATTCATGCACAGTTTCTGAGCATAATGCTAAAGATTGAGCCGTTTTAAAACCCATTACCTTAGGCCAGTGGTTGTATAGTACAATATACAAATACACTTAAATCCAATTGTGGCCCCTCTTGTCTTGCCGATCATCTGTTAAACAAACGAGTCACCATCGTTTGTTTGTGCTGCTTTTTGTGTTTGTGGAGGTCATGACTGTATATCCTGGACATACAGTGATCTTTACCTGGAGACTAGGTGGCAAAATTATGTTCACCAAGATTTGCTTTTGCTTACCTTGTCTAACTAGATTAAACCTGACTGTTGGTGTGAAAACTGTCTTATTTAACTTATAATTTGGAGAGGCTGTGTATGTTTGATTCAGTATTAAATCTTTTTTTTTTTTTTGGTATGGCTTTAAATCCTCCCAATGATGGATCCATCAATTTTCTTCCACTTATCCAATGTAAACTGTGCAACTGTAACAGAAAACACGTTTTTGTAAAAGGGACAGAACTGAACAGTGGTCATACTTTCACACTTCCCATGTGATTGCCATGTGCTTGTAATAAATGGATGAACTATTCACTTTACTCTTGTTTTATTTGTTAAATAATAGATCTGAT